AAACAAAAACCTAATCAAATATAGAAAAGGGCTGGCAGCTGACATAACAGAGTGCGTAGACGGGGTAATAAAACGGTGAAGTAATTATCATTGACCTCACAGTCTTCTTAGTTAATTGGCGTGCAGACCCTGAAGGACTGCAGTTACAGGACAGGGAAGATGGAGAGAGGAATGGGCAGCAGTGGAACAAGGTTACAAAGAGAAAAGACGGGGAGAGGGGAGAGGCGAGCTGAGGAAAAGAAAAGGTATGAAAAGAGAGTGGAATTGGAGATACGGCGAGGTCAAAATGAGCAGGTGAGACAAGCTGAGATGCACAGAAGGGTGAAATTGTGTGGAGGTAACAGAAAGTGATAAGGTAAAGAAGCTTGTGCATCATGCATCTTGCTGTGCTCAGCTCGGTGGACAGAAAAGCACACACTTACATCTGCATGCCGTGGACTTGAGCAGATGCACGGACAGAAATAGCTCTGGTGAGGTAAAAGAAGGATACGAGTCCAGCTAGGGCAGGATGGAAGCAGTAGCATCTCTGCACTCAACTTTGTTTGGCTGTGGTAGACATTTTGAGACTTCTAATGTGTCCTGGTGGTTTGCTTTCTCATCAAATATTCAGCTTTTTTTGTTTTTGTCTTATAACCTGGGCTTCACAGAAAACTCTTCCTGGAGATGGCTGTGCATGCTCACACCGGCTGACTTGCTCGAGCCGAGCTCCGTGTGACGGTGTGAATTTGTTATATGTTGTTAAGTGTTTATTCACAACCTCCCGACCTCAGCCCAAGGGGATTTGTGGAAGCTGCTGCCAGTGTGGCGTACAGTATATCACTTAAATTACATATACGTGGCCAACACATACAGTGTGACCTTGATATTGAGTTAGTGTGTATGAATTGCCCTTTTACTCAATGAGGCGTGGTGTTATGTGCTGTTTTTTCACGCCATATAATTCTGCAACAAAGGCAGGGATATAAATATAAAATATAGACTGACAATGAAAAAACAAAAGAAGCATTACTGGCATGAGATGTGGAGATAGAGGATAAACAGAGGAGAGCAATGCAGAAATAAGGCAATCATCTCTCACTCCTTTGCTTTCCCTTGCACACACAGATTCTGGCCTGCCATTTATCACTATCATATTGATGATTTGTACCTCCTCATCAAAACATCAGCTGACAGTAAGGGGCCCATTACAGATGCCAGTGGGCCACCTGTCCTCCATGGGGCTAGTAAGCGAAGGCAGCGTGAGTTTAAACTTCAGCTAAGCGTAATGAAGTTTGACAGTGCTAAGCAGCCAGGCTTCCTCATTAGGCGTCCCAGTGCCAGCTTGCCGTGGTCAGGGTCTCTCCTCTTGGCTTTCTCTTTCATCTCCTAGCTGCAGAAGCACAAAGCCCGGCGGTCTCCTCATTAAACAGGCTTATTGCATTAATTCAGCCCAACATAACACACTGAGCTGGAGCTGTTCCAAATCACCCCCCCCAATTCTGTTTTTTTTTTTTTTTTTTTTGCGAACAGGAAGCCAGCTGCTTCGACCACTGGGTTCAACTGAGCAGACTGATGTTTGGCAACGTTTGGACCTCTTTCAGATGATGGAGGCCTCGGCTCACACTGGATGACATTAGCTCACAGTTACAGTGACAAAAAGCTGCCAGCAGCTGAACTACTGACCCCGATAACATTCAAACACCCCTCAACACCCCCGACTCGACCACACAAACACTCACACACCTGTTGGCAGAGGATAAACTGCTGGTCGTACAAAAAGACATTTGATTTGGCTGCGCTGTAGCAATAGGTGTACATTTAAGGTTGGACACAGGGGACACACTCCCCTCGATATTTAGAACATACATTTGCCCCCCTGAATAAAAACATGAAAGTAGCAGAGAACTTTTACTCTGACAGAATTAAAGACATTAATACCATACACTGATGCAGAAAAGGCCCAATTTGCCAGTGGAGGACCCCCCAAACCATATGTACCTTCACCAGTGCTGAAATGAAACCTACACCCTTGATTGAGGCTATGCTCTGATACCCCTTTTTCACCAAAATTAGCACGTGTACCTGGATCTTTTAAACAAGGGAAACATGCCGAAAATAGGCGATAAACTCCTTTCTCATTGCTAGTAGACAACAGCTGTGTACATGGCTCTGCAGCAGACAAGCACGCCTTTCTGTGTGGGGGATTTTTTTGTTTGTTTGTTTGTTTGTTTTTGGTGTGTCACGTTTGACTAGAGAGCAGGTCAGAGAACAGTAGCAGCATAAAACACTGTGGAAACTTTGTGGTGTTTACTTCTTTTTATATATCTCTTACTTATTTAGTTTCTCTTTCAAACTCAGTGCAGACTAATTTGGAGTGATGTTTAAGCACCGCTTGGGTTGAGATGGATGGTATTTTTTTGTGATGCACCATTGCATCTCGCCAGTAAAGGATTGTTGTGTTTCCATCAATGCTGATCAGAGCCAAAGTCAATAAATTCCCATAACTACTGCAAAGTCATTTGACCCAGGTGTGAATGCTGATTGTAACCTTTCCCGTTACATTAAAAAGCCAGATGTTAGTGTTTTTTGTGCACGGGGAATAAGACTTTAGATGCTATAATACCAGCATTATTATGTATTTCATTTATGAATCTATTTTATGTGATCATGCAATCTCATTTGCAAATACTGCATGATATTATCCAGTCACATTCAACCATAATTTTTGACCAATTATGCAAAGAGATGTGCACTTTTCAGAAGTTTCAGCTGCATACATGTGCACTTTTGTTGGGGTGATATATTAAGAGAAAGGGTTAGGATGGAAACAAAGAGCCACATTGATGTATAATCATCAATGTACCAATGTCTCTATATTGTTATATAAAGCAAAGACTGGCTTCAGGCACAATGCATGCTCCTAATATAAACAAATGGACTGCTACCGAGAAAATTAGAGAACACACAACTCAAACTAAAAATGCACCAATCCAACTTTTTCTTTCTTGACACCGAGTCCCATAACTTAACTCACTGTATACTTCACTGTGTGGAACTCATTGGGATCACTTTTATGTGAGGTAACGTCAGACCAAAGACTGTGGGATCACTGAAAAGTGCCACGACTGGATGAATGATAGAGGAAACAATTTGATGATACTGACAAAGCACTGGATTGGTTACATCATTGCCAGTATCTGATCCACTTATTAAGGTTGGTATCAGGCATGGGCGGATTATCAGACAATGGGCCCCTGGGCACAGCTGTGCAAAAGGCCCCACTACTTCTCCTACACAGGAGCAAGACACAGACTTTGAGGTGGTTTTGCCTCTTTTTTTGTTGCTGTTTTGCATCTTTCTTTAGTTGCTGTGCATCCTTCATGGTTTTCTGTCTCTTTGAGGTAATTTTGTAGTTTTTTTTTTTGCTCTCTTTTGTCTCTTTGAGGTTGTTTTCCCCATTTTTGTCATTATTCGGTGCCTCTTTGGAGTTCCCTTTCATCTCTTTGTGGCCTTTTAGTGTCTCTTTTTGGTAATTTTGAGCCTCTCTCTGGTTGGTAATTTGAGTGACATGTTGTCTGGAAGGCCAGGGACCTGTGGAGTAATCCATCCATGGTATCAGGCCTATGTAGTCTGATCGGAGGTTCCTAATTGGAGCCTGCTGTCACTTCCAAATTGACCACCAGGTTTTCTGATACACGTTTTGTAAGGGTAAGGTGATGATTAAACACATGCAGTTATCATTTCAATGAGGAAGCAAGCTATTATAAAATGTGAAAGTTCATCAGTTTCAGATATTGTGACTTTTCATTCTGCTGTACTGAGTTTGGACAATTGAGAGAAACAGAACTAAGGTTTGTATCTGTCCTTCAGGAAGTAAGGACCTCAGGTTTAGCTGAGTTAAAACAAACGTGTGATCATAACATAATGGTATGATTTGGCAAGGCTTTTTTGGATTGGATGGAAGTCTGTCTTTTGGCAGACAACCAATCACCATGACTTTCTTTGTCTCTGGAAAAAAAAACCTTGTTGGAGACTTTTCTATGTGCAAGGTCTGTTTTTGTCTCCTGGTAATTACAATAATTTCACTTGAAGTCTAATGGTGTTTTGTGTGTCTATTGATTCTGTGACTGAGTGTTTTACAGAGCAGTTTTCCATGACAATGCAAACACAAGGCAGCAGCTAACAGTTATTTCTTGCACTGCATCCACTTTTCATAATGTCTGATGTGATTTGTGGCTCTTGTAGTGTGTGTTTTGTTGTTCAGTTGAATGTTATCTTGTGTAGTTGTATTTCTGCGTTATTTTTCTTACAATAAAGTGAAATCTTACATCGTGTCAGCGTTTAAGTTGTGAATGGTTTGTGATAGTCTGGCAACCTGTCCAGGGTGTACCCCGTCTCTTACCCACTGTCAGCTGGGATAGGCTCCAGCACACCCACGACCCCACAGAAAATGAGTGAATGAATGAATGGTTTGTTAATGTTAGTAATATTTGTAAATGCAAGGAGAGTATAACAGGGAAAGTCTCACATGATTTTATGTAGATATTTTGAAGTACACCTGTAGCTTATACAGTTAATAAGTATGTGATTGACTGTAAATACACCAGCAATGTCCCCAGCATCACTTCAGCACCATGGACAGCAGTGTTGGCTGACAGCTCCAGGAGTGATCCTGGACACGGTCTGCTTATCTTCACTTTGGCTGCTCATATTGGCAGTTCATTTATCTAATCAAGTGATCAATCAAATTCAAATCAGCCCTAGTTTAAGGGTTGACAAAAAGGTATCATGCAAAGGACCCTATACAGAAAGAATTAGGCCCCCAAATGTCATGTTCAGGACCCAACACTGATTTATTTTCATTTAGAAAATATTTATAGCATGTGACAGTGTAGCTGGGTAGCATGTATACATGCCCTTCCTTCATGTAGTGAATACAGTGACAATAAATCCTCTAAGTACCGTTCAAGGTCCCCTCCAGCCCCTGCACCCCGCCGTAGGAAGCACCGACAGGCACTTACCTGATGCTGCTTGCATCCAGCCGCAGATCTTGTACACGGTGGAGGTGCTGAGCAGGAAGAAGAGACTGAAGCAGCCGATGCAGGTGACGACCAGCATCATGGACATCCCAATGAAGAAGGAGGCGGCCTTGAACGCGGTGGAGGGGATCGCGGCGAACTCGGTGAAGCTGCCCTGGCAGGCCAGCTCTCTGGAGATCCCGTCTCCGACGCAATAGTGAAAAAGGCCGAAGTAGCCGGCCTGCGGCGTATCCACGCCATCCCCAATCCAATAGGGCTGTGAGAAGATGGTCACATTAACAATGCCGAACAGGATAGTGAAGATGGCCCATAAAAGTCCGATGACACGGGAGTTGCGGACGTAATTGGTCTGGTACAATTTCGCAGCTTCTGCAGATGGTAGCATTGATGCGGCAGATCCAGGTATCATTTTATGCAATCCCGAAGACTAAATGAATGTTGCTGTCTGCCCGAGCACAAAGCGAGGACTTGGCATGTATCGCACGAACCGTTTTTTCTTACAGAATCATCACCGCCAACCAGAAAATCAAAACAGCGAGCGCACGCGGAGGATCTATGCCCGTGCAACTGCAACACAGCAACATCTGTCAGGCGCGATCAAGTCATGACGTCGCATCCTAAAGCCAGGCGGTGAACCGAGTGAGGAGCGAGAAGCGGAGTGCTTGAACCCTGGATATGAGCGATAACTGTGAGGAGTCAACGACTGCAGCTGCACGAACAGGCTCCGTCCCTCTCTTGCTCCGTCTAGCCGTCAGACGTGCACATCGCTGCCGCACCGTGTCGCTCACTGATGCCCTTGGAAGACAAATGTATTATTCACCCCGACGGCTTCCACACAGCATCAAATATATCCTTACAAGCCCAAACAAAAACAGCAACAGCCTACAACAAGCGGGTTGTGTTACGCATCTGAACGGGGTCGCATCCAGCAACACATTACAGGCCTGTACTTACAAATTAACGCAGCCAACCATAATAACCATTCACAGGATACGACGCCTCCCCAGGGTCGTTAAACGGGAATTTATTCTCCGGTTTATGACAGCATCACCGGGCTGCCAGTGATGCTGGGAGTCAGAGAGGGAGGGAGGGAGGGGCACAGACGGTACAGACGCAGAGGCAGATCGTAATGTGCGTGTCTGTCCGTGCAAACACAAGCACACACCTTCTGGATAGCGCTGCGTCAATGATCACCGAGCTGACGACATGTATTAAATATGCAGAGGAAATAGGAGTTGAATGCTGTCAAATCAACCCTTCCCACAGGATAACAACAACCTCCGCCTGGATGTGTGGCGAGCGGTCCTTGTGTCAGCGTTACCTGCCGCGTTAAAGACGCAGCCAACACTGCTCGGCTTCATGAGGCGCGCTGCTCTCTTGCCAGGAGGTTATGTAACACTTCATGAAACTGCATATGGTGGCCTGAAAAAGCACAGGCTAAACACACTGCACAGTATGAGATGAAAAGGCTACTTATCATTTATCTTTTGCTTCGAAGTAAATTAATGAGCACTGTCTGCTTTATCAAAATTCTCGGTTCCAAAGTCATGACTGTCCTTTCCCAAGAGAAGAAGATGAAAACAAATCATCATATGAGGCAAATAATACTTTTCCACTATTAGTAATAGTGGTTGTTGTTGTTTTCACAAGACACAAGAATGAGGAAGGTATTTACTCATTATTTATTCATCTCTTTATTGCCATCAGTTTTGTGTATGTAGGCTATGTGTATCTGACAGGTGAAGTGAATAACTTTGGTTTTTTTGTTCCAGTGCATTGTTCTGCTGGGAAACCTTTGGTTCTGGCATTCATGTGGATACCATCTGACATGTTCCACCCACTTAAACACAGTTGCAGACCAAGTACCCCCCCTCATGGCAACAGTAGGCTACTCCCCAATGGCAGTGCCCCCCCCAGCAGGATAATGCACCATATAATAATACAAACATCGCTCAGGAACGGCCCGAGAAATGTGACCTCAAAGTGTCAACCTGGCCTCCAAATTCCCCAGATCCCAATCTGAATGAGCATCTGTGGCATGTGCCATTAACCCACCTCACAACCCACTGGTCTAAATGGTTCTGCCGCCAATGCACTGGTGCCAGACACCGCAGGACACTCCCAGAGATCCTGTGTCCATGTCTCGACAGGTCAGAGCCAAGTCCGATCCAAGGAGGCCCCACCTTGAGCAGACTGGGACCTGGGAAATTTAGAAGCCAGGTCGACACCTTGAGCTCTTTGTCACGCTCCACAGGCCCTTTCTAAACAGTTTTTGTAGTGTGGCATGCTGCTTTTTTTTTTTTGGGGGGGGGATACTTGGTCTGCAATGGTGTTTGAGTGAGTGGAACATGTCAGGTGGTATCCACATGAATGCCAGAACCAAAGGGTTCCCAACAGAATAATGTACTCTAACAAAATAATCAAAGTTATTCACTTCACCTGTCAGTGGTTTGAATGTTTTGGCTGATCGGTGTATATTGTGTATATATAGCCTACATAGTTTGATAAAATAAAACATATCTGTCATGATTGGGCAGGATATAAAGATGAGATTATTTTTTGAATTTCTATTTTCTAAGTATTTTTGTAATTATTTATATATCATGCTGTAAGACAAATATTATTGTAATTAATGTAATATATTAGAATAGGTCTAGGAGAGCTGGGCGTTGGTGGCTTAGTGGATAGAGCAGGTGCCCCATGTACAAGGCTCTTGCTGCAGCAGCCCGGGTTCGACTCCAGCCTGTGGCCCTTTGCTGCATGTCATTCCCTCTCTCTCTCTTTCTCTCCCCCTTTCACACTGACGCTGTCCTATCAACTAAAGGCAAAAACACCAGAAAAAAAAAGTCTAGGAGAATTAATTATGGTACAGCTTTACAGTGATGGGGAGCTACATAATTGATTATAATTAATATATGAAGAAGGGGTGGGAATAAATAAGTTTGTACTTTCTCTTACTCCCACTTTAGTAACCTATTTTTTTCTTTGTTTGTCTACCACTGTGTGACTATTTATTTGCAATTTACATGTTTGAAATAACTACTACTAACTGATTAACTAACTAACTAACTAACTAACTAACTAGACAAGACACCAGTAACTGTTGCAGTGGTCTGGAATTTCGAAAGGACACACAGGAGACTGATTAAAAGCCCCAAAATGAATCAGTTAATACGAGAATTAAACTATTACAGAGGCCCAAACTTTTGTTTGGTATGCCTTTTTTAATTTCTGCTAGCTATTTGGGATCAGTAGAATCTGATGAGCATAAAAACTAAACATTGTCAATGATAATTAAGTCCCAGTGTCCTTAAACGAGACGGTAATAAAGTCCCAGTGTCATCAAAAGAGTACCTCCTAATCATCTTGGACCTTGTCTACTTTTGTGTCTGACTTGGCAGAGATGGCTGCCATCTTGGTTTTACATAGATTAGTGTATTGCGCTCTTACTACCACTAAATGGCACAAAATGTGTCTGCAAACAAGGACAACAGGTCTAAGTTAAGTAGAATGTATGAAGTATGACGTATAAGGTCAAGTAAACCCAAAATGTGATGTCCTCAGATAAGTTGAGGACACAGGGTCTCAGGAGAATATAAATGGTTAATGAGACCTTACATCACCCCTGTCAAAGTGAATCAGTGGTCCGCTGACATCCCAGACTCTTGTTTGAAATGTCTGGAAAAAAAAGGTACTCTGTTTTACTGTGTATGGCACTGTCCACAATTTTAAAAATACTGGGAAATATTTGTTGAGAGACTGATGAGGTGCCTCACAGAGCAAAGATAGGCCTCTGTGAACTTTATCCAAATAACTTCATTTTTGGTTCATAACAGTTAACTTTGGACTCCTGCGGGTTAGGGGGACAATAGCTTTATCTTGGACAAAAATGGATGTACCTTTGATAAATGTTTGAGTGAGGGAGGTGGCATTTTGTATTGTATTGGAGAGACTTACTTCATATCCAAAGGGAGGGCAGGAGAATTTAAAAAAGTATGGAATCCTTTATTGGAGTATCTTGGATGTCAAGATGCACAGTCACTTTAAAATTGCTGTGTTTTTTTTTTCTCTTATTTGAGGTGTCTCTTATTTTCATTTCATTACATTTAATTTAATTTAATTTAATTTAATTTAATTTAATTTTATTATTTTATTCTATTTTATTTTCTATGTTATAAAATATAATATAATATATAATATTTTTTATTTTATTGGAAAAATTAAATCAAAATGTAAAATTAAATCACAATATTGTTAAAGGAAAATCTGTTGCAATAGGGAAACAAAAGAATATTCAGCATCTTGCATAAAGCGTACACTGTACACACAATCTTTGTCTCCTTTTTCAAGCTCTGTAATTAAATTCTGCCACAAAACAGACAACTACAAACACAACTTAAATGTTATTGTCATGCAACCACAAGATGACACAAGAGATTAAGGATATTTTGGTAAAAATATTAATCTTAACTCATCATATCATGAGCAATAAACTCCTAAATCACATTACAAACAAAGGCTGTCCTTCTAAAGCTTATATTAAACCTATACATTCCTATGGTTGTGTAACTAAACATAACCATGCACATTACCATTTTTGATTTTTCGTTAAGTTCTACCAAACCAATTTTTTACCACAAACTTTTGCAGTAGTGCCATTATAACTGGTCAGTTTAATGACCAATTGTTGGTTAAATGCATTGAATCCTCATTATTTCTCACTATACAGATACTGCTCTGTAACACTTTGATTCAGTCTGTGGTCTTATTTCTGTGTCACATGCTTTGTCCTTACTTTGCCCTCTTGATAGCTACTCTGCCTGATGCCAGTTGCTCATGGATTAGCGCTCAGAGGATTTACTGTTAGAGTTCAACGCTGATTTTGTAAAGCACAGATGGAATGGAGTTCATTCATCAAAATGAGAAGAGGCGGAAGACTCTGTGTGTGTGTGTGTGTGTGTGTGTGTGTGCGTGTGTGTGCTGTCGCTACACTAAAATATCTGTTTCATGATTTGATTTACTTCCAAAAATGCAAAATATGTACAACCCTTTTAGATTAAGTGCAGTGAACAATGACTATTCATATATCATACCACACTTAAGCAAACCAGCAGTAGGCCTATATAAAGTAGTTGAGTTACCAGCTGAAGCAGTAAAGACAAGAAAAGAAAAGATGAGATCTTAGGAAGAATTTGTCTTGGACACATAGTACATATAGGTGTATGGCAAGTGTGTACATGGCATACAATAGGTAATGAAAGGCAACACAAGCAGAAAACAATAGACAACACCACATAGTAGGCATCAACGTATTGAGGGGAAATGAAAACAGCAGCAGTGTAATAAAACAGGTGGATAAAAACTGACAAAAGAAAAGATGCACAGGCCCTTGGGATAAAACAAGAGATTAACAGTATAGAAATAGACCTTCTAAAGGAATTAAGAAAGAATTGTCATACAAAAACACAAATATCTAAATTTTTAGTGACCACTAGAGGTCACCAACTGAGCATTAACTACCCCATCGTCTACTTCCACTCCAGAGCACTGCATTATATTTACTGAGTGGTGAACTGTCCTGTAGTGATGCTTACACATTAATGCATCACTTATAACACAGTGATATCATATGCAGTGTTTTGCAGTACTTTTACTTAGGTAGGCCTACTTGAAGTGGTCTATACTTTGATGCTAATAATTGTACTTTTACTCAAGTAAGATTTTGAATGCAGGAACTTTTATAGTCTACTTCAAGCAAGAGTGTTTTTTACACTGAGGTATTTAGTTGAGTGAAGTATATGAGTACTTTTTCCTCTGGTTGCACTGTATTAATTTTTGGGACAATCCTTGTTTTGCTATTATTGGCCTGCAATCTAGCTAAACTAAAGTGCACAGAAATGTGCAAGTTACAAACTGCAGCCATCAGTGGGAGGAGGAGGATGTAGAAGTTGTCTTGAACTGGTTGACTATGATGATAATAATGATAATGATGATGATAAATAAAGAATACCCGAGAATGGATATTGCAGGGTGTCTACAAGTATTAGACACTTAAAGTTAATGCTTTTTAAGACATAACTGAACCAAATTTAAGACTGATAAAGTAAAAGACAGTATTAGAGTCAGTGACTGGTTTAAGGATTTGTAACATCAGATGTGAGGACTTAAGATAGATAAGCTCGACTCATTTTAAACAAAATGAATAAATAAATAAAAAGATGAAATAATGGAAGTAGACACGTTTGTGGCAATTAAAGGCTCATATATATTCAAATTTAAGACTAC